CAATTCAAATAGTATGTGAGGGAAATGAAAAACCACTAATAAAATTTAATTTACATGTCCAGAAAACTATAAAACACACACTTCTACACACTTGCTCATTCATTTATGCGTTCATTCACTTATCCTTTGTCTACAGCCTGTGCTCTGTGGATGTAACAGTAGACTGAACAGAGTGTAATGAAAAACCAATTAGCTGCTTTTGGCACCAAACACCCAACACACTCATCCCACCTGAGACCGGCTTCGCATTAATTCTCCGCTCCCTTAGCGGCCCAAGGCCTCTTCCAAGCTTTAACTGCTTCTCATGGCCGTTTTGTGGCTCTCTTATTAAAAGACATGCTGACATAGCAAAGCATCTATTGCTTTGGTTGGAAATATGACTCCTGGACATGCTTCTGCTGCAGTGGCTAAGCCACAAAACTCCATTATTACCCTTTTACAGAGCTGAGAAGAGTGGAGACACTGGTGGAATAGGAGGCTGATTGTGATTGATGGCTTCCCATTAGCAAGTCTGTTATCGCTCTGGCTGGGGGGAACGACCACTGAGTTGTAACACAACACATTACCTGAGTCTCTCCCCAGCCGAGAGTCGCTTAAATAAAATATAGACCCTCTCTCCGAGATCCTCATTCCCTGCTCAAGGAGCTCTGACTGGTATCCCGTCAGCTGTGATTTGCTGAGCATTCCCACTCAATAAACACATCATTAGTATTCTTATTAAGTGGAGCCAGCACTCCTCTGTCTCTCTGCAGGCCTGTAAGTCCTGATTGTGGATGTATTCACAGTAGCTTCACCAGGTCAGATTTTTTTCCCTCTCTCCTCCTTCCTCCTTTTCTTTTTGGTGTTCCCTGTCAAAATGATTGATTTGGACCAGGGCACAGGGTGTCCTGCATTACCCCAACAAATGATCTGGCCCTTGCTGGCAGACCTTGGCCAGAAAGAAATCAATATTTCACCATTAAAATCTATCAGAGGAGAGTTAGGGCAGCGGCTGTCAGAGGCGACGCTATCAAGCCACTGCAACATTAAACCTGACACCTGCAGCACATGAGTAATCAATATCTAGTGGTTCACAGATCATTTGTGGTCACCTTTTAAGCAGTGATGGATGTGTCCTGGGGCAGTGATTCATGTTGTGACACCGTTTAACAGGGTTTTATTCCAGTTTAGACGGACGGTCATCCCTCAGAGACGAGCTGGAGATGGAGCACTGTGGTTCCACACTAAGACTTATTTCACTGTATTCAGCCTGTCCTCAGCGATTACTTCGTGCCTTTTATTGGATTTGTGCCATGTTGTATGTGAAAAACAGGTAAGCGAGTGCAAGGTCAAACTTTATATCTTCTTGCACCAGTGGCGGACCTAGCAACTTTTACATGTAGTGTCAAAAAGGTGTCAGGAGGTTTTGGCTGGGTGGCACAGGCTGGTGGTGGTGGTGGAAAATAATTTGATAGCAAACATGTAAATCAGTGTATTATGTTAAATCTGTTATGAATCAACATGCAATTACACACACGTGTGGGGATTTTGCACCTAAAAACACATTTGTAAATAAAATTTGGCACGAGTACATGATCAACGAGCATTGTAAGCTAACGCTGTTGTGGAGCAGGCCAGTGTAATTAATGTATTGTATTGTATTTAATGACAGCCAGATCTGAACCACTGAAAAATTCAAGACTTTCATCTTTTAAGGATCATTATCTAACCTTCCTCAAGCCATCACACACTCACACACCCACACACACACCTGATTCGCTTTAAAACAAAGGCTACGTTCAGAATGTAGGCTTTAATGCTCAATTCAGATTTTTTCCCAGATCTGATTTTTTTGTTTGACAGTTCACATTGTTGTTTAAATGGCCCATATTAGACTTCAGTGTGAGCTGTCCACGGCCTGAAAGTGACCCACATGTGCAGAAGAATAACACAACATCACACGCAGCACACTGTCTTAAGTGTAATTTATACTTCGGTGTCGAATCGACGGCGTAGCCTCTGCGTTACCCTACTATGATGCTTGATAACTAACTTTTAAGCACAGCTTTGAGCCGAGAATTTTTTTTACTCTTAAGTCAGTTCTTAGCAGTGTTCTTATGAGTAATTCTGAGAAGCTTAATAAATACAGGCCCAGATCTGACTCACATATGGGCAAGAAAATCAGACATGCATTGCATCGCGTTATGAAAAAAGTGGAGCCAGGTTCAACTTACTTAATGTAAAACCCAACATTGTTTTACTAGATCTCTGAGTCTGCACCTCAATTGAAATAATGAGGGGCTGTGTTTTTTAATGCACTGCTTATGTAAAAACATGGCCTTACGAAAAGCAAAGTTTCTCTACACGTCGTTCACAAATATTTGGCCACTATAGATTTTGTGTTTATTTGCCCCAAACAGACAATCTGGGTCAAACTGCCTAAATCATAATACACAGTTATTAAAGAGGTGTATTAAAGTGATGAACAAAACAAAATAATAAGTAGGACCAGGTGTATGAAGACAGCAACGACAGGCTGCTGTTTAAGGTTTCCTCCTCAGCGAATATGCGAGAGCTCTCAACCTTGCTTCCTGACCCTCATTCTGTGCGAGGAGATAATTGCTTGTCAGAAATAAATAGAGAGATTAATGAATTCATTAGTGGTGGGGAGTTTAGCTCTTCAGAGCAGCACTTACTGCTATGACACATCACGCCTATTGTTTTACTAGCTAGTTAGCCTTGAACAATAACATTCACACTGCAATTGTCTCACATACTCATGTAAACCACAGAGAAGTTGTGTCCTTATCCTGGAATTTAGCAATAATGCAAAGAAAGGCTCTTTAAATCCGATTATTTATCTTAATTACTTTTGTCTAGAAGAGCTGTGTCTGTGGGAGCTGGTAGAGGACAGGACACATTAATCCACATTAGCAATGAACACTGTATCGCTTGCAAGCAATTTTGCAGTGACACTACCGTTTGTGTTCCAGCATTTTTGGCAGATATATACTATCTACACTTTGGGTTTAGACTTTTAATGCAACACACACAACCAAGCTAATCTTAAAAAATACATATCACACAGGTGTTGCTTGTAAGTTTGCATGAATTGTTGTTTCCATTTCAAAGATATATTCAACATTGATTCAGTTGTTTGACTTTTTATATTTTAGTGTTGTGATAATATAAATTGCTTACTTTGAATACTTTCACTTGTGAAAATATGAAGTTGCAGCCTGTAGATAGGTACTGTATGAATAATGGTAAAATGATCAACATTTACATTTACTTCTCAGCATGTATTTCAGCATACATCAATGTGCTTTCCAGGTTCCAGGTATGTGAATCCACTTTTTAAGCCCTTTAACACTTCATATTGGAGCTGCCATATTTGCCATATGAATCTAAACATATGATACTTTTGTATTTTTTTTAACAATGATAGAGGGGACTCCATTTATATACAAATGTTTATTTACTTATTAGGGCTATCCACAACTAAGGATTGACATGGTCGAATCAGACTTGTCAAGTCTCGCCCAGTCGACTGATCAAATCATATGAGTGTCTGTGTGGCGGCGAGGGGGGCTGCAGTCTCTATTAGTCACTGTTACTTACATTGTACATACAACTAAACTGAGAAACTAAGGCTTATTGATGACCCTGTTCTCTATGCTCGCCTGCCATTCACCAGTGTTGTGCAGAGTTTTGCGAGCGCACGTGCCTGACAACTAACTGTACATACACGTTGTAATACTGTTTAAAAACGATATAATATTCTTTGTGAGGTTCATCAATGGTGATAAATAATCCGAATGTCCCGCAAGGTTCAGACAACTCTGCACAACACTGGTGAAGCTGGGGCTCCATCTCCTCAGTAGGTATTCCTCTGCCACTACACACATACACACACATTACGCCCACACATGCGTACTGACGCCCCCTTCCTTAAGGGTTAAGTTGTCAGGTTTTCCAGGCAGAGAAGACCAAAACGCAGATCTGAGTAAGGGCAGTTTATTCAAAAGAGAATGAGCTGGGGAAAATCCGAGCTTGCTGGTGGCGGACTGGGAGTGGGGAAGTGTCCAGGCTGCGGGTGGAACCGAAGGTATACAGGCTGGTGGTTTTATATATACACACATATATATAAAAAATTAGTTACTAGTGCTTATTTTTTACTTTATTCTTTACTAGTAACTATTTCTGGACTTCTCAAACGTCATCTACAACCAAATCCAGTTGCTCTTGATTTAATTTTCTATAACCATAACCTGGATGACAAACCACTTAACATGCTGTTTTCTGAGTTTATTGTAGATTTATTAAATTAATAGCCTACATTATAATCATTAATAGTCACCTCTCTGTTCAATCTAAAGTCATAAAGATTAAATTAGTCATTGAGATCAATTAACCCTGGTATCATGGGGTTACTAAAAGGAATGTTGGAAAGTTAAATCAGATCCGACTTTCGAAACATTGTTTTCAAGAGGAACACACTTTCCAATGTAAGGTTAGCCAAAAAATGTCAACAAGGTAGGCGATTGTAGCCATTACTGTCAAAGACATATGTCCTTTTTAAAACAGAAATAACTACATACACGTCAGTATGCTGTACAAATATTGTAAATAAATGCATTTATTGTATAAATTACTATAAATTACCATTTTGTCGTTCAAGAATTTTGGACCTCCGCTGATGTGACTCTCCCTCTAAAGGGCTCTGGGATCTACATAATTCATGTGGGCCACATTTTCAGGTCGGCAAATCACAATCCTGATTAGTGTAATAATTTTCATGACTTTTTTCAAAACGTTTGGGGTTTTCATTTTTTTTCCAAAACTTTCCAGGCATGGAAAAATACAATTTCAAATTCCATGACTTCTCCAGGTTTTTCATGACCGTACAAACCCCGACTGTGCATAACTCACATCTTCCACCATCAGGCATACAATTTATCTGTTTATGTTACCATCTGGAGGTATGAGACTCATCCTGTATCAAGTAAACAGAAATCAGATGCAGTCACCAAAAGGCCATGGTCTTTATTACACCAAAACAAACTGCACATGTTCAGAAAACAAAAGCATTAAAATGGTTTCTCCACATCATCTAACCTATATCATGGAATATTACAAAAACACTGTTTTAGAGTTTGTATTAAATACTGTAATTATACCCAACATTTTTCATTAGAAATTGTTATAAAAATGTCCCTTAAATGATCCAGTCATACCTCTTACAGATACAGAGCGCCTTGTTTTATTCCTCATTTGCTTTATTGTTTTTATTTGTTTTCGACCAGGAGGGTTCCCAATCCATCCACCCAACAAACACGTACTTCATACAGGGGACAATTTCAGATTTTAAACTAATTGTATCACTGCAAAACACTATGTATTCTTTGTGGCCAAGTTAAAAGGAATGTAACAGTATTTAAACAGTACAAACAGTTCCTATAGCAAAATATTCAACCAAGCTCAGAAAAAAGTGTGGTTGAAAATATGTCCAAAGAAAGGATGCTCAGGGTTTCCCCCTATAACACCACAAGTATCCTTTATAACCCTGTGAAAACATGCAAATTGTCTAACAAATGATAGTTAATTGTATTTATGTGTGAGCGATATCTGTAAATATAAGCGAAGACATATTTAGGATCATACATACGCTCTTTACATGCACTAAGAAATGACTTTATTCTACTTTAAGTTCTACTTACCAGTCTACTGTCATATGAGGTATTCAACACCTATGGTCCATAAAGGAGAACCATCAAGTTGGAGTCAAGTGCTGAGAAGACAGTATGCGGGGAAATTTGACATTCCTGCTGTTTTTGGGGAAAGCAAAAATTGCTTTTCTTAACCAGGAAAGTGAAAAGGCTGTAGTTACATATTTGGACAATTGTTGCTCCCTGAAATTAAGGTATTTAAAAACAAAAAGTGTTCTACAATAAGGGAATTCACAAAGAAAATGTGCTTAAAACCTAAGCCAGTGTCCATGTATGGATTAAACTAATTCCTTAAGACGGTGTAAATTCATTACCATTCACTTCCAACCTAAACCCTTAGAGTTTTGCTCAATCAATAAGACAGCACTCTTCCTTCATTCTTTGGATCTGATGATACTGTAAATATCAGTGACACACAGGCTACAGGTGAGCACTGAACACCCGGTGTCCTCACAGCCAGGGCAGAGAAGCGTACAATACATATCATTCTTTATCAAGAAAATGTAAATGCAGGTATAAGCTAATTATATACAATAAAAGGTCTGGTATATAGATGCATATCTTCCAAGATATAAGTTAACCAGGCTGTGTTCCCCACTGATACGTGAAGGATGTGAAAGAACCAGGAGATAAGGAGACTTTAAAACTGATCCCCGTGTGATTGTGTTTGGCACAATGGAGCCAAAGCTTTTAAACATTAGAGCTGATCTGAAGAACGATAGATGCTTTGACACTAATCCCTTTCTAGGTAAGTAGAATTAAACTGCACCAAACGAAACAACACAACAAACTCCGTTCTCATTGTTCACCTCAGCTCAGATTTGTAGCCTGGCAGCCCCGAGCTCTGTATTGCGCCAATCAAAAATACTGTCTGGTCCAGCGTAAAGCAACAGGCAGCCAATCAGGAGCTGAGGATTCATTTGACATGCCTGACTGGCTCATCCAGGGCCAGCCAGTCCTGGTCTGTGCTGCATGCAGATGTTCTATAATAATTTGCCTCTGGCTTCAGGTTGGTGCAAATTCAATGTCATTTTGAGCAGAGGCCTGATGAATCCAAGAGGTCCCTCAGTCCTGATGGGTCTTTTCCTGAATGAATTTATATTCATACTGAGGGGGAAACAAGTGCAAAAATTAGACAGGACGGCTAAATAGTTTCAGTCCCCCTTAACAAAACAAGCATTACTGTAATACTAATTCAACAGTGTTGGCAAAGCAGATTCAAGTGATTACAAATGCTTACCAAGGCTAGCTGCCGTCCTATGTTACCCATAGTTATCACCCCCGCAAAGAAGATGCAAGGTAACCAGGAGCGAATATACAGGAAATCTGGAGAAGTATACCTGTGCAGAGAAGAAGCAATGACAGCAACAAGGAAATAAACAATGCATACTAACACTTCACTTTCAGCTAGGTTTTGCTCTGACAATCTTGGTTTGATTGACTGTTTAATGAAAGGTCAATTACACCCAATATATATCTGGGACACATGTAAGGTTTCCAATTCCAAGAGAAATTCACAAATACACTGATCATTTCTAACAGAAATGTGGCTCTGTCTTCAGAAACACACTACAGCAATTTCAGTCCAACTAAAATCCTAGTTAGTAATTTAAGATTCCCAAAGTGTATTTAAAATATATCAGTTTTTTTTTAGAAGTCATATACATGTGTATATAGAAGTCATTGGCGCCTTCCTTGCTTGTCCGACTATGCTCCATATGTCCCCCGATATGCAAACTAGGTGTGAGGGAACTTACTGAAAGACGCCGTTGTAAACCAGGAGTTGGGTGGCCAGCGTTGCCAACAGAGCGATGCTGACTCCCAGGCCAAAGCCGCTGCGGGACCTGTCAAATGTCCACCACAGACCAATGGAGAGCGCTGCCAGAGTCAGAGACAGCTGGACATTGTTAGCGAAGTCTACTTTCTGACAGAGGAAGGTCAAGAAAAGAAAGGGAGTAATATGAAATTCACATCGCATCGATAGAATCATAGAATTTCACTTGTATTGGCATCGACTACTAAATTTCTGGTATGGTGACATCCGTATTTACAGATCTGTGTTTCAGTGCAACAGTGCTGTGGAGATATACTATATTTACATATCTTTTACCTAGTTAGACAACAAATCATAGCAAATAAAACAGCTCCACTAATTCAATATTGGTGTACACAACATTCACAGGGGAAATATTGTAACCTCTCAAAGTCTTAGAGTGCTTGTTTTTCCCCACCAACAGTAAAATGAACAAAAACAGATGTATAAAACCCCAAATCTTTAAGGATACAGCACTGGCGTGGTTGATGCCCACAAACACAGCCACGCAGCGCATCACACTGGACCATTCCCGCTTGAACTTGTGTGGCTCACCCAGACGACTGTCGATGCAGGGGTACAACAACCCGATCATTGCTACATGGGGAAAAGAGAGACAGAATGAGCACCGAGCAGAAAAATAAGAGGCAACACAAGCAGTTTTTAGCACTGCAGTGGTATTGTTTTTCTGACAACAGGCATTCAGATAGCATCTACTATATGCTATTCTGATGTCACACTCACAGGCACTGCCTTCACAGACTGCACAACTCATTTGTGTAAATGAATGAATACAGTTGACGAATCTGAATAAATGTGCTCTTGACTCTTGACAGAATGCCTCACACCGCACCAGATTCTTATGTACTTCAACAGGAAGTGAAAATTCTTTTATTTCCTAGCTCAACAGCAAGTCAAAACGGTCATTTCAGAAAATATGAATAAATTGATTTGCATTACAGCTCACATCCTGGTTACTTCTAAAACTAATTATTTTTTGCACTGTCAACGAAACGCAACAGCACTTATCTGGGGGACGAAGCACGGTATTAGCAACAAGCAACAAGTGGAAGCAGCAGGCTCCTGCAGGAGGTGTGGGATCTCTGGAGAGGAAGAGACCCGCGGGCTGTTGTGCTTTGTGCTGAGCCACTTGGGAGCAGGCAGCACTGAGCTGCATTTCCATCCACAGCTTCACACCCAGGGAACAACATTTCAATTACACTGGCTGGTCTTGACTGTGGGCATGTGTTGTGCATATGTAAGGCTGTGTGTATGTGTGTCAGGGCAGACCGGAATGCCTCGAAGCTTCTGCAGTTGCCAATTGCTATGATGTTTTTTTGATATTCTGATTGTGAGAGTTGTTGTATGTACAGTATCAAAAAGTGAGTACACCCTTCACATTTATTACAGCGTAGTGAGTGTACAGCTTGTATAACAAATTGTAGTATAATTGTAGTATAGACAGAAGATGGTGCAGAATGTCAGGGGACAGACAGGGGAGCTGTTTGTAAACTTTGACCCAGAGATTCTGACCCAGATCAGGGAGGCCAACTGCATGACAAGGATGAGTTTGGAGATCCCACCCTTTGCTGCTCTGGTGCAGCAGAAACAGGATACCCTCATAAAGAACTACAACAGTAAAGTTAATGTAGTGTGTTGAAGTTTTCCCATCGTCTTTGTTTGTGCCATTTGTTTTACTTCTGGTGGCGTCTCTGCTTGTTAATAACACTTGTTTATGAGCGCCAGGCACTTTGAGATCTGTGATTCTTTTGGGAGGCTTTCACATGTTGAGGGTGGACATGGTGCAGATCCTCCACTCTTCCTGGTTATGGTACCAGAGGAGCTCCGCCGCCGGGTGAGATCTCGCAGGAGACGTTGGTGTGCTCACAGTACACATTCTGGCAAGCATGTGAAGTTAAATGTATGGCTGAGAAGGACAAACATGGACCCAATTGTTGGTACTTGCTCATCTGGAATTGGGGCATCGGCAGCGGTCTATTCAACCCGTTTACCCGGCGAGTCCGGAGTCCAATCAGCTATTGCAGTCCTGTTGGACTTGGTCCAGATGGCTCTTGTGAATGTCCAGTCATTGTCTAATAAGGCATTTGTTCTTAGTGATGTTTTAAATTCCTATGCTCTAGATTTTATGTTCATAACCGAGACGTGGATGCGTGAGGGTGATGTATTGCCCCTTTATCCCCCTGACATCAGGGTTTTCAGAACTCCAAGACTTTCTGGAAGAGGATGGGGGATTGCTTCACTTTTTATATAATTTAAACCTTCTGTGGTTTTGAATGCTGCGATCTATCGTCCACCTAAGTACAATGATAACTTTATTTCTGAGTTTGCAGTATGAGATGATTTTAAAATCCATATTTGTTGTGATGATAAGCTATTAGTTAGTAGAAGACTTTTTAAATGTCACTGAGTCTTTTAGTTTTACACAATGTGTGTCCGAACCTACATGTCAGCGTGCACATACATTAGATTTAGTTTTAATCTATGGTTTATCTGTGTCAGTTAATATCAGTGCTTTACCAATTTCAGATATTATTTGACATTTCTATCCCTAATTCATTTAGTATGGGGAAAATGGTGCAGAAGACAAGGTTATTTCGTTATATTAGCACTTGTGCTTTCAATGACCTTAACTTGAAACTACCAGATGTGATGGATCCAGTTTTTAGCCAAGCCTGGTGGACTGTCTCACAGACAAATTTAATGATGCACTCCGGGATTTGTTGGAGTGGGTGTCTCCAGCTAAGACACGGAAATGCCCTCCAAAAAAAAAAATCATACACCTTGGCTAAATGAGGAGTTTCTGACTCTCAGAAAGAGTTGCAGAAAAGCTGAACATCAGTGGAGCCATACTAAGCTTAAAGTTATTATCAGGCATGGCTCGACACTTTAACCATCCATCAGTCTAGGATGGCTACTGCAAAGGCAGCCTCTTATTCTAACATGATTATGAATAATAAGCATTAGCCTAGACTTTTATTTGACACTAGATAGACTTACACAGTCAGCAGCCAGTAATTAGTACAGACTCATCAGCACATGATTTCACGAGAGAGTTGAGGACATCCAAACTAGGATACCCCAGTCAGATCTTGGGGGATTAGACCGCGCTATCACAGGACCATTTTCTACAGGACAGGGCCACACTGAGTTTGAGACGATTTCTTTGGCTGATTTAACTAAAATTGTTGTGACTGCAAGAGGTACCACTTGCTCTCTAGATCCCTTACCTGCCTGGGTTATTTAAGAACTATGGCAAACATTCAAATTGTATGTTTTAGCGATTTAAAACCTATTGCTCTCCACAGGAGCTTTTTTGACTTGCTTCAAATCTGCGGTAGTTAAACCATTATTGAAGAAACCAAATCTGGATTTAAACTTGTTGGCAAATTACAGTAGCAAGCTACTTGGAAAATGTAGTGAGCTAAGCTACTAGCTACTCTACATTAATAAATGAAGCTTCACTACAAAGAAGCTACCCCCCAGTGAAACGTAGCAAGCTAAGCTACAGCAACGTGGCATAAATAGCGTAGTTACAAGCTACTTTAAATTTTTTATAGTTAGGGGTTAGCTTATACACACACACAGTAAAGCTTAGTTTATATTTAACTAACTTCATTCCACAGTAGCAGAGAAGACAGACTAAAAACCTGCTCCAAACTGTGTGTGCAGAGAGAGCTAAATCAGACACACAGAAACTCTCCTACTTCCTGCCAATCATTGCAGCTACATGTAATTCCTCACACAACAAACGGAGAACCATTGTTGTTTGTATAAAGTAACTTAATTGTCACATTATTAATTAGTTTTTATATATATATATATGAATTTGTGCTCTGGCAACATTGCAACCTAAACACGAACACGAGAGAGAGAGAGAGCTCTCATCTCATGGAAACAAGTTTCTGCCACTACATATCAAAGTTTCCTCCTCACTAGAGGAAGAGGTGTCCAGGCTTGACCCTGATCCTTCTCACAAGAGGTGTTACAGTAACTATCACAGTAGAAAGTAAACTCAGTCGCGCGTTTTTATTCTTCTGCAGCAAAGTCGCAGACATCAGCCCAAGGATCGGTACGTGATGTCACCGTCACAGGAAGCGCTTCTGTCGGCTGCACGTACAGGTCCGTGTGTGGAGGTGGCGTCACTTACTGATCCTTCAGAAATGCTTGGGAAAATGTAGCGTGTGTGAAAGCTACCGCGCTACTCGGTCAATAAAAGAGCTTCATTACCAAGAACCTATTTAATTCAGATGTAGCGACAGTTGGTGATGTCACTAACTGATATTTTGGGGGTTTTCTTCACAGCTCTCACCATATTTCTGTCAACTCATGTTGTTTTCCTTGGCCGCCCTGTTGAATGTCTGTTGCTCAGTACACCAGTAGTTTCTATCTTTTTCAGGACATACCAAATTGTTGTGCTTGTTATGTCCAATGTTTGTCCAATGGCTCTGGTCGATTTTCCTTCTTTTCTCAGCTTGACAATGGCTTGCTTTTCTCCCATAGACAGCTCTCTGGTCTTCATGTTGGTTTATCCTCTTTAACAGGAAATGCAGTCTTTATAGGTTTGAACCAAGGATGAAAACCTAGACTAGTCATGCAGAGCTACTTAATGTTTGGACAATCGAGCTAAAAGGCAACACCTGGGTAACAAGAAACATCTGTCTGTCACATGTTCTAATAGTTTTGCACACTTGAAAACTGGGTGGGTTCAAACAAAGAATGTGAATATCAGGAAATAAAAGCTGAAATTCTGAACTCTTGTCTCATACTCATCTGTTGATCTTAAACCCAAATGTCTTCAGTGAACAACAAAAACAAAGGAATTTGCCTTACCGTTCCAATACTTTTGGAGGGGACTGTATGTAGCAGACAACATACATTAATATAAAAACAATTATAAAAATGGTAAACAGAAATAAACTATCATCAAGGAGCAGTGCTGATGATGAATTTGAGCTTAAAAGTGTGATAGCTGGGGGGGAAAGCTGCTCTGCAGTCTGGTGGTGTGGCAGCAGAAACTTCTCTATCTCTCTTCCCAGAAGGCAGCAGGGTGAACAGGCTGTGGCTGGGTGGGTACTGTCCTTTAGTATCCTTTGGACTCTGTGTGGGTACATCACCTCACCGATATCATTGATCAGGGATGGAAATTAACACAACCGCCACTTGCCAAATGCAGGTGGATTTACCGTTTGGCGGCTAAATGTCAGAAGGTCACCCATCACATAAGGCAGGTAAATGTATTCAGCATGATATCACCATATAATAGCTATCTGACGGTAATTAGCAGCAGATCGGCGTTCTTGTTTGTTGTGTGTTGCAATTAAATATGTCCCTGATGTATTAAGGGACCTAAAATCATGAAACACACGGATTAGGGGGGTTCATTGGTTGTTGTTTATGTTCATTTCATGTTACTTGTGTTTGATTGGCGTAGATTTGTAAGGGGGTGGGCGTCAGGGGCCAGGGGACCGAAGTCGGGAGGGAAAGAGGGGAGAGTGTAGCTGCTTTCATACGGAGATCAACATATGGAAAGAATATCCGCAAATATGCTGCATTCACTAATTCATGCTTTCAATTGC